GACATGCCCTAAGGGTCACACACACACCCCCGCGAAGTAGGTCATTATTGTCGGGTTCATTTTATAATCAAGTAAATTGAGACGCAGGGAGGTTAGGTAATTTGTCTAAGGTTTGTAGCGAGTTAGTGACTGAACCCAAGAGCCCTGACGTCTGATCTCACGCTCAATCCCAGCAATTGCTACTTTTCATCTCTAGGCAACTGCAAGAGACCAACTGAGTTGCCTGCAATGTCCAGAAGTGCAAGAGGTTTAGGTGGGATTTTCAGGGGAAAAAACCCCCCCAAAACCCAAGAGCATTAGGAGACGAAATCCCACTGAAATTCAATGAGGGGTTGGACTTCAGCGCCTTTGAAAATCACAGCTTTAAACACAGCTGTTGCATCAGAACCTGTTTCAAGTCACTTTCCCGGTCAAGTCATGTATGGTTATGGTTATCTTTTGGAGAAGCAGGAACTAAAGTTCTTTCTTGGGCTGTTTTCTGCTTTTGCTGCCGAAAGCTGTGGCTGAATGCATATAATTAGGTATGCGGACGTTTTTAGAGATGGTATCTTCACTGATTTACAATAAGCTTCTCCTAAACTCCCAAAGCCATCCAAACTCTAATCAGCTACCCCGCTATCTCTCATGACTGGAGCTGTTGATTATGAAACAAAGGGAGTTTTTCAGTCCTCGTTAAGATCATAGGTGTTTTGCTTTAAGCGGGGAAGTGTTACGGGTGACACGGTGATGTCATTTTCCTGTTGGAACAGGAAGTGCATAAAATTCACAACAAGGAAGGTAAAAACTAACACGCAAGTGTTACAGCTGCATGCAAAAAAGGAAGATGGTTTCTGCTGTCCCGGGGATTTCTCAGTAACTGGCCTGGTCCTCCAGGGTGCTGATTCTAAGTCAAGGCGGGATGAGGATGCTCAGAATGGGCCTGATCCAATGATCCTGTAAGTCAGTGGTAAGAGTCCTACTGACTCCCCTGGGCTTTGACTCAAACCCTGTAAGAGCCTCGCTGGGTCAGCCTACAATTTGCAGCAGTGCACAAAATATTTGCAAGAAAACTGGTTGTGGTTTTTGTGCAACATTTGCACTGGAACGGGCCCACTTTCAAGAGAAGTTGCTGTCACGGCCCAAACTGTGGACGGTGGTAATGGTGCCTGTTTTTGCAGCCATTTTACCCTTTGCCTTATATCCTAGGGGAAGCTGCAGAATTTCTGGGACGTACAAACCATGCCGGGAGGGGGGAGGGGGATGAACCACAGGGTATTTCTGAAAGAAAATAGCCTGAAATGTTTCTGTGAAGAATGTGCATCAGATAGCGTCGGCTTTGGTGGGTCACAGCCCGGTTCTGAATGGCAGAGTCGTATTAATGGCAGGTTTATAATGACTAGCTACTTAGCAAGGCTTTGCTTGAGCGCATTGCGGCTGATGCCTTGCTGGAGTTGCCACCTTCTCTCGCTGCTCCTCCTGAAGGCTACCTTGGAAAATGGTGGCCTAAGAATGGAGGCCAAGGGACGTTACTCCTATCTGGTGGCAAGCAGGGAGGGAAGGGGCCCAGGGTTCTTAAGGATCCATTTATTTTATCATGCAGCAAGAAAGAGAAAACCTGGAGGGTGAGAGAGAAAGAGAGAGACTGGAGGCCCCAATATGGAAGTGCTGCATAAGATGGTCTACGTGACATTACCTTAGACACCAACGCCTACACTCAGCCAACGAAGGCGGGGCTGTTTTAACCTCAATTTACTTATACCTCCTTCTAGCTCCTTAAGCAGGTAGGTCGCCCGAACTCAGACTCCCTTGCACCGCAGGTGAGTGAGTGCAGCAGGATCTCCCGGAGCACCAGGGAGCCTGATTTACACCCCGACCTCTGCCCAGAGCCAGAGGTTTTCCTCAGTGGCACCATAGAAATACCATGGGAACTCTTTTCTGCTGCTCTATGTACTTCTCCTGTGCTGAGCCTTGGCTGGGGACAGCAATCCACATAGAATAATCCTGCTGTGTGCTTCCTGAGAACCTTCCCCTCGAGGGTCTCAATGTGCCTGACAAGCCATATTGAAACCTCCCAGTGGGACAGTCTCAGTACATTGTACCAAGCCCAGAAGTGACAACTCACCTGACAAAATGCTGCCCAGGTGCCACCAATCTGGGGAGAGTCTCAGCCCCAAGGTGTTCAGAGAGTTTGGATCAGTTTGCCAATGGACAGAGGCTTATCCGGGACAAACTTAGACCCCAACATTTCTGCGGTCTCCCTGTCTCTAACACACAAACACATGCACTTTATCCCCACGCTCTCCCAGACATGCAAACACAGACCCACATGCATCTGTACAAACACCCATGGTGGGGTTCGTTAGTATTGAACATTCACAGGAATAATGGGAACAATACGACTCTGAATGAAAATAAACAGTGAGGTTTCTCCTTCTCCCACCCCACTCCCCCGGCCCGGCAGCTGCTTCCACCACATGAAGGCTGAGAGCAGTGATGGGTCAGGTCCGCAGTTGTGTCTGAGGAATGTCTGGGAAGAAAGTGATAGTGGTCTCAGCTGTAGCTTTAATGCAGTGTCAAGGACACACACAAACCTCACCCACAATGCAGCCAAGAAAGGAGACGTGGAAAGAATCAAAGGCCTAGATTCTCTTCCCAGCTCTCCTTTGCTTCTTATTGCTAATGTCATCCTTTAAGTCACTGGCAATGATACTCATCATTACTTTGTCCCTGATGTTATTCCAAGGACAGGCTTGGCCAGTGCTGTTCTTGTTGATACTGGGAATTGGAACAAATGGCTGACAGTCGAGGCACTGGCTTGTCACTGGCATGGGCCTCTCACGTCTCTAGCTCTTTACTTTCTGGGTGAGGAACCTGTGAGTCTGAAAGGGACAATGGGAGCTGAGTTGGTGGGTGGCGTCTTGTGTGCCCTGCGCAGGGTGGTTAGAGATGGGGACAGATCATTAGGATGCCTGAGTTCTGTTCCCATCACTGTATAACTTTTGGAAGCCACTTTAATCTCGAGTGCCTCAGTCTCCGGAGCTGTAAAATGGGGACAATAATTCTGTAACTATCCTCCTGTGACAGGGCGCTGGGTAAAGGGTTGCTGATTCAGCCCTCTGTCATGCCAGCTCCTATTTAGGGGAATAAATTAGAGCTGGCTAGAGATAACCTGGCTTTAATTGTGGAAGCAGAGACAGCTGCTACCTAATTAGCCTGGGGCTGTATAAAAGCCTCAGGGGGAAGGAAGCTGGAGGGAGGAGACAAAAAGAAAGGGAAAGGCAGGGAGTGGCAGCAGGGAGGTAGCGCTCCCGTCCCTCCCTCCTGCCTGCAGATGGTGAAGGGCCAACTGTACATGGTGAAATGGTGGTGGGAACAAGCCAGTGACTAAACTGCACCAGTGGGTACTAACCTGAGGGTCTCAGAGTGACTTTGTGGACTTAGCAGATGCAGGAGCAAGGGGGCCCTGCCGCGCCCTGCTACACCTCCTTACGGAGCTCTAGTGAGGTACCACTCAAAGGCATTGACATACCAGGTTTAAAGGTGCTAAAAAATAGTATTGTTCCCCTGTTCCCACACAGTAGCATATACAACATCATAGTGACTTCCTATTTTAAGGACAGGGTGGGGGATATAGCAGCATCTCAGCTGCTGCTATGTGGCAACCCTTGGTAAACGTTGACTTTTTAATGGCAACCACTGTGGCTTCACATTCCCTTTAGATCAGAAGCAGAATGGGTTTGTAAATCTCATCCTAGTTCCTTGCATAGAGCTGGTCAAAATGCATGAAAGATAGGTCCTGAAAATGTTGTCAAAATTTCCCCCTTTTTTTCCTTCCCCCCTCAACATTTAAAAAAAAACCCGCAACCAGCTTTTCTAATGGATTGTTTGTCCACAACCACCACACAGACTGGCCGGATACTCAGCCTCTGTTCAAGAGAAACCTAGGCCCAGGCAACAAGGAGCAGGTCAGATAGAGGTGCAGTCGGGAAATCGGCACACTGTCCATGCTACACCAGCTCTAGCGATCCCTCACTTGTACATACACTGAAATCAAGTACAAATGTTACAACTCCAGGGCCAGTTCCTTTACACTGTTCTTTACCCTGTCCTTACTCCTGTGGAAGGAGCTCAGGATTTTGCTCCTTGTCGAAAGCTAACTTTTGTAACAACCTTCATAGTACTTTGCCGATCGATATTTTATTATTTGAACAAAGTACCATTGAGGCTGTGATCTATTCAGAAATGTGTTGGGTTTTCAGGAAGCCCTGACATCATAACAGCCCTTGTTTCTAATAATTGATTTGACTTGAAAGAGCTCAGTGCCCACTGCTTTCAGATCAGCAAATTGATTTCCTTCTCTTTCAGTCACTGAAATATACATATTCATTTTAGCCTGGTGCAGAGTATGACGTAGAATGCACGTTTGGAAGGGAGGGAAACAAACATCTCTTGTTCTATCTGAACTGCTTTTTTAAAATCTGAAGGCAGATTGAAATTCAGACTGAGCCCAAGACAATGCAGAGTTTCCTTAACAAGCTTCCAACTTTTAACAACATTTTTAAATAGTGAGGTATTTCTAAACCTTCGTTTTAAAGATGGTAACATTTGCGAACAGCGAACGGCAACCACAGGACAAAGTTTGACCTCTTGTTCCTGGCCTCACTGGCCTGCCCAAAAGGGTTAAAAGTTCAAGTTTGATATGAAAATACTTTACCATGAATGGAAGGGTAAAACCCCAGGGATGATAAAGGCTGCACTCACTCTGACGAGCTTTAAAAGTTAGGATCAGGCTAATAAACACACTGATAACAAAGACTAACTTTTCACATTGAGTTCAGCAATATTTCTTCCACTTCAGCCATGGTAATCTTCGCTTACAAAAAAAAAAGGATTTATTGGAATGCTGTGAGTGACAATTCCAGCACACGCAGGCAAGACTTAACTTCTACCTCCCTCCGTCCCTCTACCCAATCACCCCCAAAAACAAGGCAACCTAATATCAAAACAAGACAACAACTTACTATTCAGATAATGATACAGCACCGCTTATGGGCAGCGGTGTTGTCTGCACTGATCATTGCAATATTCCCTGAACATCTGGGACTGGACTGCACAATTCAGATCCAGAGGTAGACTTTGAATTTCTCACTAACCCGATGGGGTGTTCAGATCCTGCCCTGTGGGAGGGGAGTTGTTTTGGCAAAGTTTACAGAAAGAAGCCAGCAGTGAAACTGGAATCCAGATTCAGGTTTGATATTTAGAACTAGGAGTTAAACTTTAACCTCCAAGCAACTTCTAAAGCATCCTGCTTGATGCACACCTGACTCCTTCAGCACTGGTGCTGGTGGATTTTCAGTAGTGGGTGAACTCAGAAAGGTTCGCTGGGAGGACTGGTTGTGTCCGACCCCGATGGATTTCACATCAGGTTAGTGATCTCATAGGAATGGAACCAGTGGAGAGAGGACTGTTTCTTCTTAGGCTGGGACTTGCCGGGAGTACTATGGGGCATATCCTTAGCTGGTGTGAAGCACATCAGCGGAGGATAGACTTAAGCACAGCCCCCATGTCAGTGCTTCTGCTTCTGGCCAACTACAGCTGGTCAAAAAGCGGGATTCATTTTTCGGGGCAAATTTCACCAGAAAGGGAGCCCGTTGTTCTGTGGGTCAGACAGCTCTACGGCTGATGAGACCAGACATTAGATGTTCTCGCTACAATTTTTATCTTAACTCTGCTGTAATGAAGTGTAGAGATCCTCTGCAGCTTGTAAGAGAAACCCTCCAGAACCCACTCACCTGGTCCAGGGTTGCCGTTAAAAATGCTGCTGGAGTAGGGAAGGTGGTTGGTCACTGAGTGGGAGACCTCGATCTCCAGGGCTGCCCAGAGGGGGGGGCAATTTGCCCCAGGCCCCCAGCCCCAGAGGGGCCCCCACGAAAATATAGTATTCTGTAGTATTGCAGCTTTTATTTATGGAAGGGGCCCCTGAAATTGCTTTGCCCCAGGCCCCCTGAATCCTCTGGGCGGCCCTGTCGATCTCTGTGAAGTAGTTGTGGCTTAAGGCTGCCTGAGGTTGCAGCTCCATAAGCAGGGGTTGCCTGGAACTCCCCTCGAGGGTGATGGGACCATGCTGGCTCAGGATGGCTCCAGCCATTCTCATCTCTCTCTGTCTCTCTCTTAACCACAGAGCAAGGCAGGCGGGGAAATGTAGTCCCCCAGGCACCCATTTGTAGTATCAAGTCTGGGGCAAGGCATGCTGGGAAAAAAGAAAGCATATAAACCAGTGGGTTGGGGCTTATGGAGCAGGAGAAAACCCCAAATCCACAAAACCAACAGTAATGCGGCTCTTGATTTCAGTGGACATATTGCCCGAGTGAGGAGACCCCAACCCCTCCCCCAGAAACCTAACCGAAACAGAGTTCTGACCCCATCAAGGGCGAAGTGCCGGAGAACTGCACTAGGGACTTCGCTATTGAGTTTTCATGGAAGGCCCTCAGATGCCACAGTGACGGGTGGCAAACTAAGACAGACAGAGAGAGGAGTGCAGATGAGAGCCCTGGTTAATTAATGTTTGCAAGGTACCTGCGGATCCCTGACAATGGGTCTCAGCCAGCGCATTGTTTTTCTTCAAATAAAGGGACTCTGAAGCCCTCCTAATGGGCCAGATCATGAGCTCTTTACATCTGTTCCACCCTCATTTGAAGTCAACAGTGGTTTGCTTGAGCACAGAGGAGGAAAGGTTTGGGTATTGGTTCCTTAGGTGAAACTCATCCTTGTGCAGAGCTAGCCCAAGGTCCCGGTGCCAGTTACACCCTATTTTGAGTGTTGAAGTGGGACATAAATGTTCTCTAAGCCTTATTCTGGCTGTCTCCACAGATGGGGATTTCACCCTTAGTGTTCTGGTTGATTTTCCAATAAGTTCCCAGGACATTGTCAGTAAAGTTGTCAGGGCAAATAAAAGTTTTGCTCAAGTTCTTAGGATGAATCCCTTTGACTTCTAAGGAGTTCACATTTTTTGGCCTTTGCAGGTTTCTTAGAATTATATATTTTGCAATCCATGAAAATGTCTAGATTTGTTTAGGATTTTTTTTTTCTCCTGAGACTAACACAGACGGTCCCATGTTGAGAATGTAACTTCTGTTCTGGTTTCTGTATAGAATAATGGGCCAGATTCTCAGGCGGTGTAAAGCAGCAGCGCTCCACTGAACTCAATTTGGTTCTGAAGTTGGGTGTCAACAGTCTGCAGTTCTAAGGACTATCCCAGCAATGGAGCGAAGCTGACTTACACCAGCAGAGGACCTGCCCCAATCATTATAAGGCCCTTGGCAATAAGCAAAATGCAGACTGTGTGGTCTGAAAACATAGAAAGTCCCTCCTGCCCTCACATGACCCATGCCCACAGAACGCGTTTCCAGGCCACTGATGCACCAAGTGGAAAGAATGTTTTCTTCTTTGATCATGAAATTTCCAAATCCCACACGTAGGGCCTGATCCAAAGCCCTGGAGGTGAATGGGAGTCTGTCCATTGATAGCAACGGGCTTTGAATGAGGCCTTTCAGGAGACAACAGTGCAGCAAAAGGATTTACTTACCGCTCCTGCCAGCCACCAGCTCCTAGGAATTCCAGCAGCTGTTCCAATTCAGCTTCTGTCTTGCGGCATGCCAACATGGGGAGGGCAGGCAGGCGACTGAGTGCAGGCGTCACGCTCACAAGCAGAGGGGTTGGGATTCTCTAGTAGGAAAAGCTAGCCCAACTTATTTAGCACCAGGGGTTTGAAATGTTATTTTTCTATTAATACATCAGTAACGAAGGCTAATGGGCCTGCCAGCCCTGTTCCAGTCTCAGACCCAGCTGAGCAGGACTGAGGTGTCTTCTGGAGAGGAGGTATAGGAAGCAAGTGGGCTCCTGCGTCTGGTCCCGAATAGCGTGGAAGAGATGCAAGGAGAAAGTGCTCTGAGGCCCTGCAACCTGTTTGGGGTGAGTTTTAGGTTTGAATTAATAAACAGCGCCCCCCTGAGGCAAGGGCTTGAAGACTTCGAGTGGGGTATCAGTCCTTCCAGGGCTAGAGAGGCAGGCCAACAGCCTACAACATCCATTTCTTCTCTTCCTCTCCTGGGACAGATATCAGACTTGTAGAGTGGTCACCTGAACCTCCAAATGTGCATGGACTCAGCCTCTGAGGTCCAACACATTCAGGAACATCAGACCATGCTAGCAAAAGGTCAGGGAACTTGGACTGAGGAGATTTGCACAGCTGACCCGAGATGTGCACCTTCCTCAACTCTAGCTTCCCCCGAAGGCATCTATGTTAAGAAGGGAGGAGACCTGGGAGTTGTTAGGGAGAGAGGAGAGGCATGCGGGTAAGCACCTAACATGTGTTAGGGTCTATAAGAATACATGGGGGGCAGTGGGGTAATGTTCCCATTGCAGGTTCAAGTTCACATTTGCCTACCTTGGGAGAAGTCCCCCAAATCCTAGAAACATAGAATTTGCCACCCTGGTTAAACCGAGTCCTGGATTAAACCACTGAGTCCGGCATCCTGCTTCCTACAATGGTCAATATCTTATGCTTCAGAGGAAGATGAAAACAACCCATTACGGGTAGTAAATTGTGCAAGGGGGTGAGGGTGGGGAAGTTCTTTCCTGGATCACCCAGCTGATCCTCTTCTGCCCGGAGCTATGAGATTTGTTTACATTGTTGTCTCAGGACTAGACTCTGCCCGAGTACTCCCTAACTCCCCCACTAGTCCCACGGAAATTGATTTGACAGCAGAGTAAAGCACCATGTGACGTAAAGAAGGGCAGCAAAATTTGGCTCTGAGTTTGCAAAGCTAGGATTCGGAACATAGTTAGATGTGCTTCACTTTTCCAGGAACCACGCTGGCTGGATCCTACCAGCTCATTCCTGTCAAGTTGCATGATGAACCGATGCAAATGGAATCGTGAGGACTGTGCCAACTTTTTAAAGGAACCAAATGGTAGAAGGAAGGCAACGATTCCCCAAGAGCCCTTGGGCTGTGGAAGATCAGAGACACAAAGAAGTTATTAAATGGTCTCTATGGCTTTCCCTCCCGACCACGGATCATCGGCCATATTTGAAAATAAAAATGGGTTCTGCGCATGCAGATGCAGAGAGGAGCCTTCTTTGCGGGGCACTGGATCCATTCATCTCGCTTTATTGGAAATTTTAATTAAATTCCCTTTGATCCAGGCAAGCTCTGCATCCCAGTGCTCCTCTGTGCCAAGGTGTTCAGCAGCCAAACTCTTGTTCAATGCCACCGCCCCATTTTTAGCCCTTCTCCTTTAGAGGATAGAATATGAACTTCCAGTCCTCCACGTTGTTTACGTGTGGTTACACTGTATGGGCCTGATTCAAAACCCATGGAAGGTAACGGGAGCTTTGCCATTGATTTCATTTGGAACCAGAAAAAGGCCTCTGGCTTGAATTTGGCCCTTACACCTCATCCGCTTCAAAAGTTATGCCTGCTGACACCAGCATTAAACGTAGCCCAATAGGTTTCTCCATTTAGAGCTGGCATTTGTTAGCCAGCCAGAAGGGAGGTGTTTCAGTACAGCTGCTAGCTCTCCACAGGGCCGGCTCTAACTTTTTTGCTGCCCCAAGCAGCAAAAAAAAGCGCCGAGCGCCACGCCACCGGAACCCCCCGCCCCGCGCCGCCCCCACCCATGCGCAGCTGGAGCCTCCCCCCCCCCACCGAGCGCCGCGCTGCTGGAACC